TGTAGGGTTTACATTACAGGTAACTGTACTTACATCTGTAGGGTTTACATTACAGGTAACTATACTAACATCTGTAGGGTTTATATTACAGGTAACTATACTTACATCTGTAGGGTTTACATTACAGTTAACTGTACTTAAATATGTAGGGTTTGAATTACAGGTAACTATACTTACATCTGTATAGTAGGGTTTACATTACAGGTAACTGTACTAACATCTGTAGGGTTTATATTACAGGTAACTATACTTACATCTGTAGGGTTTACATTACAGTTAACTGTACTTACATCTGTAGAGTATACATTACAGGTAACTATACCTACAGAGTATATCACAGGTAAAGACAGATATATTTAACTATAATGTTCTTGTCCCCATTATCTTTTAAGGATATTTCCTATTTTTGTCTTTATCTAACAGGAATACAATGTGTCAATGTATATCAAATCTGTTTGTTTCAGTTTAGAATATTTTACTTTGTGGTGGCAATACTTGTATATATGTGCTATACAGTGGTTCATTTATGAGAGTATAACTGCAGCTTCTATTTGTAGAGAATACATAACCTGAGCACCACTGCTACTGTTCAATGATTACACGCTTGGAAAATAGTTATTAATAAAACATTATTCAAAACATTCCCTGACACTTCAATCAGCATAATTTAAACGGTTATTCTATTTATTTAAAAAAGCGTCTGATCCTCTGTTGCTGTTCTAGTTATTGACCTGGCCTTACCGATAACAAACAGGGAATTTTGAATTGTAGAGAAGAGAATCAATCCTAGTCGCTTTTTTACATCTAAACGAAAATATAGACAATACAGACCAACAGCTATAACTGCAACAGATGTCGAAGCCACACTTATGACACACCATTCAGTTTGTCTGTGTTACCAGTTCTACCAGAAGGTCTGCAACATCATGGCAGTTTATTGCTTAAATGTGTTGTTCTTACAATGTTTGTTTGTTGATTTAAGGAGCTCCAGCAGCAGGTGAAGCGTGGTAACCTTGATCCCTCAGAGGTCACCAAAGCTCAAGAAGGACAGGCCAAGGACTTTCCACAAGGCATTAAGTCCTGTGGCACAGACGCACTGCGGTTTGGGCTCTGCTCCATCGATTATAGTTGTAAGGTTATAGATAATGGTTTATAATGTACTATATTACCCTGTGG